ATGAGAATTTAAAAATGAAATCAAACATATAAAACATCTACGAGCCACCTTTGTGCCACGCCCCTTGAGGCAAGCCCAAACAAGTCCATGTTAGGGTCTTAAATTCTTAGATTTCACACAAAAAATAATAATTTTATAGTTTTAATTGCTTTTAAGAAGATATTTTATTAAGATGAAAGAATGGACAACATTACCAAATAGGGGATTCTTGAAGCTTCGGTGATCGAGCAAAGCGAGCGAATTTTCAAAAGGCGCACACCTGGGCTAAGGTGCAAGGCGCACCAGGCGTGCACCTTTTGAATGGGCTGCGCCTAGGACCTAGGCGAGGCACCTACCCTAAAATGCGCCTCGCCTGAGTGCTTAGGCGCACCTGAGGCACGCCTTTTAAATCACTGAGAGAAACTCACGGATCTTCTCAAAAAAGGAGAGAAGCTTGGAAGTAATATTGGAGGTCATCCATATTAGGGTGATACATTGGCTGAAAACTTTGGCATTGTTTGCAGAATTCTCAGTAGATGAGATGCTAAAAAACTACAAGGAGATTGCAGAATTAGCTTCAGCTAAAAAGCCATCAAACTCTTGTTGGATTCCTCCACCTCATGGCTTTGTTAAACTGAATTTTGATGGCAGCAGTATGGGTAATCCGGGGCCATCCGGAATAGGGGGAGCAATAAGAGATGAACATGGGAACCTGTTAGCTATGTTTCTGGACCAATAAGGGAGGGAGATTCCTTGAGGGCTGAGAGACTTGCAGCTCTTGAAGGGGTACAAAGAGTCAATGTTAGGCAATTTAGTAAGCTGATCATAGAAGGAGACTCTGAAGTTGTGGTGAACTGGTTAAAAGAGGATAACTCTAGGATATGGAATTCAGTACAAATGGGTAAAGAGAAGTGCAAACTCACTGGCAGCTGGTCTAGCTAGGCAAGGGGTGAACAGAAACTCTATATTTTGGGTCGTATTGTAATTGTATTTTGGTGTTCAATGATTGTTCTAGGGAGCTAAGATTGTTTAGCCCTCTTGCTTTGTAATTTTTCTTAATCTTAATTAATACATTTCACAGTTATTGATTAAAAAAAAAACACTCTTCCAAAATTCCAACGAGCAATAGGGGGTTCTCATTAATCCCTTCCAACTCCAGCATTGTGTTTTTCTCAAAGAATTCGGCATCAACCAAAGCTTCAGTTTTTTCACTAACATCCTCTTCCAAACTAGCTGTGGTTTAGTTAGTGTGGTCTTCATCAATTGGCAGTGAATGCACTTGAAAATCTCCAGCACTCTCCCTTTCAGACATCATGTAGCGTACCTCCAAATCTTGGAACATTTTCCTTGTAAATGACTCTCTTCCCAAAACAAACAAGCCTGAAGCTTTACTTACATCCACAGCCATGTCTACAATTTTAGTCACATCAACAGCTTTGTCAATCTGACGAGTCTCATCTCATCTATACAAACTTCTTCCTCATCCTCCTCGCTCAGACTTCCCTCTTCATCGGAAGAAATAGCACCATCTTGAATCCTTTCAACTACAGTCTCTGCCAAAGGTCTTGTTCTGTAAGAATCTTTCATTCTCCCATCAGTTTTTTTTTTTTTTTGAAGAGTAAAAATAAAATTCATTAAACAGAAAAAGATAGATACAGTCCAATAGGTGACAAGACGGCACCTAGCTTTACAGAACAAAACAACTCTGATCTAAAAACATAGACTGAAACAAATCTGAAACAGATTATAAAGACTGAATTTCAAGCACATTCCAGAAGCCCTCCCCCAAATCTGATCTACTGACTTGATCAAAATCTGGAAGCACCCAAACCCAATCTGCTACTAGTTTCCCCACCAGAGCCACCAGTGTTTCAGTATTTTTAGCTTTATCTTCACAAAGCCTTCTGTTTCTTTCACCACAGGACCCAGCACACAGCAAAGGAAATGGAAGCTCCAAACTATCCTTGCTTCCTGCTTCCTCCAAATCTTGGCCAAGAAGAGAAAATTTCTGCTGTCGACCTTGGCTGAATTACTCTTTGCCCAAATAGAGAGGAAGAGAATTTCCAAATGATGCTTGCAGTCCTACAAGAAAAGAATAGGTAGAATACAGTCTCTTCATCCAAGCAGCACAAAACACAAATTTTCTAAACAGAATCCTCTACTTTTAAGTGGTCAACTGTTAGAATACTGTCCAAGCAAATGCTTCCACTCTAGGTGGAACAGGATTCCCCCAGACCCCCCCCCCCACACACACACATACACATGATCTGAGACCAACTGATCCTTCACCAACGCCAAGTAGAAGGATTTCACAGACCCCATTCCTGCACTTTCCACCACAGCCCATCCCTCGAGGAAGATGAAACCTTAACCTTCTATAACTTTCCAGCAGCTGAACACATTCTTCTATCTCCTGATCCAGCAGTGATCTTCTGAATTTGGGGCACCATACAATCTGATCTCCCCTCAGTTCAAAGCATTGATCAACTTTAATGTGATGCTCAGTCAACCTGCAAAGCTTCAGGCACACCTCACACAGCTTCCCTACTTCACACCACTCCTCCCAAAATCTTATCCTTGACCCATCACCCAACTTGAACGTAACTGAAGCTTTAAACTCTTGATTGAACAGCATTATCCCTTTCCAGACACTCACCCCATAAGAGTTGGAGACCTCCCTTGACTCCCACCCAAATCTCACCAATCCATACTTCCCAACTACAACCCTCCTCCAAAGAGACCCCCTCTCTCTTTCTAGCCCAAACCTCCAAAGCCACTTCCCCAAAAGGGCCTTGTTGAAAATTTTGACCCTCCTAATACCCAAATCACCATTCCCTTTTGGCCTACATACCTTGTCCCACTTCACCAAATGAAACTTCTTAGCTCCCCCAGCCCCTTCCCACAAGAAATCCCTTTGAAGCTTCTCAATTTTTTCCACCATCTTTGCTAGAATCTTCAATAAAGATCGATAATAAGTCGGTAAACTAGTAAGAACACTCTTCACTAGTGTAGTTCTGCCCCCCATAGAAAGATATTTGCTTTCCAGCTCTCCAACCTATTCTCCGCTCTTTCAATTATTGGCCTCCATATTTCTACTGCACAAATATGGAGGCCAATCAGCAAGCCCCCCAACATGATATTCAAACACCACAGCAAACTGATCCAGCTCCTCCCTCTTTATTTCCCCTTCCCCAATCAGCAAGCTCTTAGCTCCTCCCATCAGTTTGGCCTTTTCCTTTAGTCCTTCCCTCATCCTTTAACCCCTTCTCCTCTGGAATAGTAATTTAAGCCAAACAGGACTTTGGACCCTTCATCATTCTTCCCCCACCAACAACAGGATTCAGCACTAGGACCTAATCCATACCCTTAATTGATAAAGAATCAAGCCCCAATTCCTTTCATTGTTTACAGTTTACTCTCAAAGCTCTTCCCCATATTGAACTCAAAGAAACCGAAGGAATCAATGTAGCCTACCTCCAAGGAACACTTGTGTTCCACAACACTGCGACTGGAGGACATGCAGTCAACAAACTCTTTCTCCATCCCAAAGAGCAAAAAAGTGTCTTCCACACCTTTTCTTGCACAAGGTGAAGTGGAAACAACTCCGAAATCTTTGTGAACCTTTGCCTCTTCAGTATTCACTTGTCTTGTCCAGAACCATTTGATCTCTTAGGTTTTCTTCGAAAGCATTTCGCCTACTCACAAAGCAGTCACCATTAGTATAGGAGTATCTTGTAACAAAGCATTTGTATTTGCCCCTTCCAAACACGTTCATCATCTTCCTTTGAAGTCATCTCAGACCTTCTTCGGTGGCCTCTATGATTTTTAGGCCTTGGCTCCCCTTCGATAAGTCCCTGTTCAAGAAAAGAATAGATTTGGACCGCAGTAGTGTCAAGCCAGCCTTTGAATCGACCCAACTCAGTTCATCAAATAAAACCCTCTTATCAATTGAGCCAGCCCCACTGGGTCCAAAATTTAAAATCCTCAAGCCTTTTCAGTCTGGGGAAACCCAAAATTTACAACACAAGCCCCTAACCTTTCAACTTTGAAAAACCTCTTTCTCTGCATCTCTCTCAGAGCAGGATGAAAAGCAGGAGGTTTCTTTAACCTGCCCATTTTTTATGCCTCTCTTGCTGCCTTTGGTCTTTCACACAAAACAAAGGGTCTTCACCAGCTATAACGATCCTAAGTTTGAAGACCTCATCAAGGTAAAACAGATCCGGCAAAGTTGGAATCAAATTTACACCCTCGGTCTCAATTAGTATTCTTGCAAGCTGTATGTTTTCCCACCTTTTATTCCTAAAATCAAATCTTCTAAAGCTTCCTATAACAATTCCAGTGGCTCTGAAGACCTTTGTATTCCAGGCATGTAATGGTATCCCATAGACATTTATCCAAACAAATCTCATTTTCTCTACATCCTTTCTCAAAAAGGACAACCATCTACTGAAAAAAAAAATAAAAAAATAAAATAAAATAAAATTATAGGTTCTTTCTTCTCCATATCCCTTCCCTTGCTAAGGCCTCCTCCATGTCTTCTCTTCACCTGAAGCTAAAGAGAAACAAAGGCACCCCCAACCTACGAACACAAGATAAACTCAGGTTTCTCCACTCAGCACTCACCCATTTCTCCATTTCTATTATAGCAAGGGTCCAAGTGCACAAATCTACCTACTAAGCATCTCTTTAGAAATTCCGATCTTTCTTCCACCTTACCTACTTCCCTAACAGACACACCCTTTGTCAAAGTCGACATTGGGACTAGCTACATCACAGCTACCAACCCCAAGTCTCTATTCAAATCCTCTGTTCAATATCATTTTTCACTGTCATCGTTCACCACCGTTTATTGTCTTTGATCACCGTCTTTCATATCTGCTTCTGTTCAAACCCCAAACTTTGCTCACCTCCACCTCTATATTTACCACTGTTTCCAGATCTATTGTACCCTCAACTCTCATCAATGATAACCCCATCCTTCAAAGCAACACTCAAGGTATCATCAATATCTTTAGTCTCGGAGTTTCTCTCTTCAACCTCAGTCTCTCCATCTTCTGCTAAAGGTTTTGTTCTAGACTTTTTTCTCTTATACATTTTTCCTTCAAACTTCTTTCCACCAAGACCAATGGACTCTACTTCACCCTCCTGATAATCGGACAACCTCCTTTCTAAAGGTTTTGCTTTTTTGAGGAGTCAAAATCTAAATGCTTACTTGTAGATAGCTAGGACAAGATGAATTCCAACATCCTTTCAACTAATGTTGAAAGTTGGAAATTAATTCATGGCACCCAATCACCAATTATAATGGTGAATGCCAATCCCACAAAAATAAAGGGAGAAGATGAAAATTCAGGACAGTGGATCCAGAAGTATGCTACTTGTAAACATACCATAAAAAACTAAAGTGCAGGGAAATGGTTATAGTACAAAGAGTGAAGCAGTTTAAATAAACACAAAGTCCCACATTCATATTAGGTTTCAAATGTTTTGGCTAATATCTCTGATCACTTGAAAAGTTACAACTAGCATTTTGGACCTGTGTTCCAAAGGCACGGGAGAAATTCTGCCCAAGGTTATGGCTAGTTCCAGCTTGTAGAGCCTTACGATCACCCATCATGGCTTCAATTGTATAAGTTCTTGATGCACCAGCAAATGTCTCAAGCTGTGACTTTCGACCTGTAATAACAGGTACTGCAGCTTGCTCATAAGCGAATTTCTCATAGACATCAATCATCTGCAGTGCCTGCAGTCCAATGATACCATTAATTAATTGGTCACAATCATGAATTATTGTGATAAATCATTATGTAAATATCATGCAAACCTCTTTTTCTGCCTCTTCTGCAGTTGCATGAGCTGTATGACCCTCTTGCCAGAGAAATTCAAGTGTCCTAATAAATGGTTTTGTCCGCAATTCCCACCTTGTAACATTCACCCACTAGAAGGGATGGAACATAAAAAGAGCTTAGTAACATTCCACTTTTTTTTCGATCAATGTAGTAAAATTCCACTTTTAAAGTATGATAATAATTAGGCTACGCAACAAAAAAAAGCACCTGATTGATCATGAGAGGGAGATCACGGTAACTATGAATCCATTGAGTAAACATGTGATTGACAATGGTTTCACTAGTAGGTCGTACCTGCCAGTACCTCAAAAGTGCAAGTGAAAGGAACAAAATCAAAACTCAGGCTACGATTTCTCATGAACTTTTCTGAAAAGGAACCAACCATCAAAATGCTATGGATAGAAGAAAGAAAATTACCACAAGTTTTTCTTCTAGCTCCTTTCCTCCTCCAATGGTTACAAGTGCTAGTTCTGGACTGAAACCCTCCACATGGCTAGCTTCTTTTTCTATAAATGAATATGGTATAAACTGCACATGTGATTTGAATGCAAATATCAGATAACTGAATAATTGAAAACTAAGGTGGTGTTTGGTGCGTCTTTCGGTCTGCAGGAAGCTCAAAAGACCAAAATATGGTCTTTTCCTGTTTGGTATCACGTAGACCAAAAGACCCGAAGATGAGCACGCAGAAAGACCAAAAAAGCCAAAAATAAGGAAGCTTCAAATGAAGCTTTTGGTCTTTCTGCACTGAAAATAGCCTCCAGCTGTTTTAACAGCCTGGTAGACCACAGCGTGAACCAAACAGTCTTGATCTTTAAAGACAAGACCTCAAAAGCTCAGTGTGTCTTCTCGTCTACTGGGCTTGGTCCATAAATGGCTTATTTCAGATTATAAGAGGAGTGAGATTATATCCCTACTAACAATATATATCATCTTCTAATGATTATAAGAATATAACAATCCTTCTAAAGATCCAGGGTATTTTAAATTTTCTGAGGGAACTTCAAGCACTTTTACATAAAAGACATTAGCCACATTAACAATATGAAAGGGTGATGCGCTGACAAATAGTAACCCCATTCAGACTTTTCATGCACCTCCATTTTCATGGTGCTGCATATTTATCAAAAATAGTCCTTGTTTAGTTTAAATAGGTGGCATTTATGAACAGATATTTTAAAACTCTCACTTTCTGGTGGTATTTGAAGAGTTTCCTAAAACCCACAAGAGAAAAATAAGAAATCCTATATATGAAAAATAACAGAAATGTAGCTAACGCTCAGTTTGGAAGGAGCGCAGTTATAAACATGTACAGTGCAAAGACTTGTATTTTGTATTTCTAAACCTGTATTTGCACCACCCATATTTGTATTTGTACTCTTCCCAAAGGAGTACAAATACAAATATGTAGAGTGCAAAACCTTGTATCTTGTATTATTTTTATCTATTTCTTTGTACTGTACATATTTGTATTTGTACTCTTTCCAAACTGAGCCTAAGGAAAAGCATTGAAATTTTAAATGCTTTGGCTTCAAAGATGTGGGCATATATATTATATAATGCAAACATAAAAGCATAGTTGTCAAGGCAACAAGGCGCCCTTGGAGGCTGACCTCGCCCAGTCGCCTACCAGTTTTGTATACTGTCTTATAAAATACTTTTATATTGTTACTTTTTTGAGATTATAATTATAAAAGACATTATTAAACAAAAATATTCATTTTTTGTATTTATAAACTAATTTCTTTTTATTATTTTCTTATTTGTTAGGGTTTAATCAACACGAACATTGCTAACTGCTGTATTGAACCCTCAAAGACTTCAGAATTTGAACCAATAAGTAAGGGAAAAACTTAAAGTTTTATCTAATCAACACATTTCTTCTTCTTCTTCTTCCACCTTTTCTTTTCTTCTTTTCCTATAACAAAAATAGGGGTTCAGTCCCCATATTTATTGAATTTTCTTTTCTTTCTTATTTTTCTTCTCATAAATATGTTAATTTCCTAGACATAAACATGAAGTTTATAATTTTCTTATGAAAATTAGGGAGAGTTATTAAGGAAAGATGGTTATGGAACCTAGGGAACTACCTAGGAAATGTATTTTTCACTTAAAAAAATCCATCGCCTAGGCGACTAGGCAACAAGGCACCCCCCTGTCACCTAGCCTCGCCTTGGCGCCTTGAAAACTATGCATAAAAGGCACATTAATCCTGAAACATTTGCTGAATGCAAAGCTTTTTGCATACACATGGTATAAGGTATTAATTTGGTAAAGGTGAGGAGCAGACATGTAGAACAGAATTCCAAATTCTTTACACGAGAGAGAAACTTATAATAGATATACATTGTTTAAACAGACATTAGTCCAACAGATTGGACATGCAAATCTACAGAACAAATTAAGGAAAAGGTTTTGACTTTCCTGAAGTTGTTATTTGTTTCGAAATTAAGTCTCGTGGAAGGGGAAGTTTAGTGCCAAACAAAGTCCAAATTTTGCTTCTGATGGTTTGCCTATAAACTTTAGTACTCTTAGTCTGTCATTGTAACCAGAAAGGAGGAAAATATTGGATGTAAATGTACTTTGTCTGTCGACGTTTAAGACCTTAATCAAATCAAGCAAATACGTTCCTCAAGTATTAAATCTGACATACGTAATTATCAGTTCCATTTTCCCTCAACTTTGAAACTTGCCAATGAGTTAACCAGACACCCATTCAAACATAGATTTACACGATCACTGGAACCAAAAGCAGAAAAAGAAAACAAGTTACATGAGAATAACTTAAGAACCCACCTGCGGAAAGTACACGTTTTTATGACCTGTTTCCTTGATCTTAGCATTCAAGTAATCCTGCACAAGAATTGAACAAATAAGAAATAAGAGTGAAGTTTTCTGCATCGAAGTTGAGTAAAAAAACAAAAGTAAAGCGAAGAAAAGGGGTACCTGGATAGCTTCCCAGATAGCGTAGCCATAAGGGCGTATAACCATCGTACCACGGACGGGACCATAATCGGCAAGCTCGGCGTTAGCGATGACATCGAGATACCAGGCATTGAAGTCCTGAGAACGAGGGGTGATGAATCCATCTTGGCCCGTCTTATGGTTACCCTCTTCACTCTCTGGTGTCTCCTTCCTTGCTTTGATTTGAGTAGAGAAATTGCGTGAGACAGAAGCCCAATATTTATTCCTGTGAGTGAACCCAAGATAAGAGAAGTGAATTTTCCGCCGCGAGAGCAACGACGACCGGGCAGAGGCAGCTTGACTGGTAGTCGAGACCAATAGATTAAGAGAAGAAAGTCGCAGAGACGCCATTGCAGCTCCGCCTCTTTTAAAGGATTATAGATAGAGTTGGAACTGGGAAAATATATAGTTGGACTTTGGAACCCGCACAAAGCCAATTTCTTCATTCACGATTCCATACTGAATTTGAATCCAAGTTTTTAAGCTTGGGTTGAGCTTGAGGCTTCCACTACGAACAGCCCAAATCAAGCCCAATCCAATCTGAGCCCATTCAAGGAAATCGCCATATCACAACCAAGCATGCATGTAGAATATGAATATTTATATGGGTTTTTTGCAAAAAAAAATTGAGCAAGTTTGGTTAATTGACAATTTCAATTATGTTTCATAAATAATATTGAATTCAGTCGGGAGAAAACATAAATATTTTATGATGAAATTACCCTTTTGTTAAAAACAGAATCCTGTTTCATTCATTCTTCTCCAAGTTCAAGTGATTTGGGGGCTTTCAATCTGCATGTGACGTAGATAACTGATTAAGCATGTATTCAAACCACGGCTGGTTGGGAAGCATCGAATCTATCCATTCAAATTGTAATTGGCTGAGAAGCATCGACTCCATCGATTCAAACTATAGTTAATTAGGAAGCATCAACTCCATCTTCAAAGGAATATCAGACTGGAAAGCATCGATTCCATTTTCAAAGCAATATCAGAAAATGTATATACGTTCAATCGTTAGTTTCCATATGTTTTGTCTTTAATGCTAGAGTTGATGACAGAGGGTTTTGACAGTTGAAGTTCCTTAGTACTTGGTTTGGTTCAAAACAGAGCTCTAAATCACTACTTCTAATTCTTTGAACGCCTTCACCATATAGATAGCTTGAAAAAAGTTTTGGTCTCCATAAATCCCATGCATGCTCTTGAAAATCAGCATAGAATTAATTTTTTGCATGTTTGATTTTATTTTCATGCTTAGGTTGATGGCAATATCATATTTATTCGCTATCCCGAGTAGATTGTGTGTTGAGAACTGAGCAAATTGATTATTCAGATTATGCAAAATAACTTTCTCTAATGTTAATTATAATAAATAATTATGGACAAATCTAATTGCTTGATATAAAAATAGTCATGCAAGGTGTCTGTTTCAATACTCATATAGACAACTTTATATTGTGTCTTACTTCATTGATGTATATGTAAATAATTTTGCCTTTTGTTTTTTGTTCATTCTGTTCACTCTTTTTTTTTTTTTTTTGTTCTTCAAATTCATATGGGAGAATATATTTTGTTTGTTAATGAAAAAGACCATTACAATTAGATCTAGATATCTTTGACCCTTTAAAGATCAAAAGAAAAATAAATAGAAAAACCAACCTATCATAGTGGGAGGAGTTGAAAGCATCTCCAACTTGACAGATTCCTGGGTATTGGCCCCATTCCTTCGTCGTTGGAAGTCTTTGATTCCAGCCATATACTTAGTTATCATCAATAACACAACACATGCGTTAACACAAACAACAATATTAATTACTAAATCAAAGTTATTCAAGGTTCATTTCTTCCCTTTCTATTGCTTTACTATTTACCTTAATCTAAGAGCCCAACAATGACATCTTGCCCACATCTGGCTTTGTGCATTGAACTTTCTCCCTTACTCCTACCAAGTCTATCTTTTACGCTCAAAAATTCCCAAGACCGTGTAGTCTAAAGAGACCACTTCTTTGCTTGGTTTGGAAATACATACACTACTTCATCCAGATCTATCAGAAATAAACCAATTGGAAGTTCTTCATACCAGATAATTTGGTGAGTTCATCTGGGCTTAGCAAGGTAGCACAGCCATTGAAGTTGTTCTTGTAACTATAAATTATTTTTTTGAGAAGGTAAAGTAAATTTATTAAAAAAGAGAACTAGAATACAACTCAGCCTAAGAAAAGCTGAAACAAATGCCATTATAGACTCCAGATTGACTAAGTTCTTAGGACATGAAATACACTCAAATGAGTAAAAGTCGAATTGACAGCAACCTAGGAAGTAAGCTTGCCCACTGCACAATGCACCATCTCTTCAGGACTCTTCTTTTTGTTACAAAACACTCTGTTGTTAGCTATCAGGATTGTTTTCCACACCACTTTTCCTCTTTCCTTCATGCCTCTGATTTTCCAACAACTAAAGAATTCTTTGATAGTTCTTGGCATGACCCAATTGAGTCCCACCGCCTTAAGAAAATGAGCCCATACCTCAGCTACTATAGGACAGTGCAAACACAGATGATTAGTGGATTCTGGATGTGTTTCACATAGCCCACAACAGATATCAGAAATCTGAACCCCTCTCCTCACTAGATTCATTTTGAACAAGCATATGTTAATGGCCATAGTCCAAACCAAAAAATTAACTCAAGAAGGACAGACAGAAGTCCAAATCTGCTTATTTGGGAAATTCTCAATACCTGAACTGCTTAACTTGCAAGCCAAAGAGTTAACTGAGAAACACCCATTCTTGCTCCATTTCCAACTCCACTCATCTTAAAATCTAAAACCTGATTTTGAAGAATTGCCAACAACCTTACAACCTCTTCCAATTCCAGTCAGATAAGTTCCTCCTAAATTGAGGGACTTAAGTCTTTGCATTTTCTAAGGTCGAATAATAATCAACAATCAAAGTGTCTTGATTTACAACAACTTGAAATAGGGGAGGGAAGGAATCAGCCAGAAGAGTCTCCAAACACCAAGGATCCTTCCAAAAGCAAACTTTATCACCTTTTCCCACTTTAAAATTTAAACCTTCCCCTAAGGAAGGGAAAAACTTTAAAATACCCTTCTAAATTAAACAACCCCAACTAGAGAAGGGATCTTGAGAACTCCAATTCCCCTTAGTTACTCCGAATTTAGATGCAATAAGGTTCCTCCACCAAGCACCTCTTTCTTGAGCAAAATCTCCATAGCCATTTACTAAGGAGTACTGAGTTGAAGACCTTGATTTTCCTCAAACCTAATCCACCCTCTTCCCAAGGGAGGCAAATCCGATCCCATCCAACCCGATGGATTTTCTTTTCATCCTCTCAACCCTTCAAAAGAAAATTCTTTTATAGAGTCTCCAACTTCTTGGCCACTTTGGAAGGGACTGGGAACAAAGACAAGAATGAAGTAGGAAGATTGGTAAGTGTACTTTTCGACAGAGTAACTCTGCCTCCAAAAGAAATAGGTGGTGGGTGTCTATGGTTTTCGTAACTAAAGATAAGGAAAGCCTCGAGCATCCTCTTTTCTTTATAGAGGAGAAAAATAGGTGGTGGGTATCCTCAATTTCATATAATGTTTTCCCCCCATTGTGTTTTTGAAATTGTAATAGATAAAGTTGCTGTTAAGATGAAGAATTTTGATGAGAACATTAGCACAAATATAGAGAACAATTTTTTTTAACATTTCTTCGTCTATGGATAAATTTGGACATTACATTTTTATAGTAAAGTGTTTGACTCACAAACACTTATTGCCTATGTTGAAAAATTTTAAATAATTTAATGTTTTTTACTTTTGTACAACAATATGGGAGAATGAGGACGACACGCTCAAGATAACACCATATGTGCCTTTGATATGCTATTGTGATGGACAGTTAAAGGATAGTGGCAATAATCCCGAATACATATCAGGACGTACCAAGGTAGATCAAGTTGTTAAGGGTATTAATTTTGTTGAATTTATTCAAAAATTACATTCAATATGCGATTTACCAGTGAAGGGGTCAATGATAAAAATCAAGTGTCAACATCCATAGGTGTAGATGACGATTGAGCATTAGAATCTGTTATATATCTATAGCCTCGACATTGTAATGCAGTCGTAGTATACATTTTGAATCAATCATTTACAAGACCAACAACCACAACTCATAGGTATTTTAGTAATTCTTTTCATATTATTAAGCATTCTATTCGTCACTTTATTGAACCATGTTTTACTTATTTGATTTAAATTAATATTTATGTTTTATTATTTTAATTAGAATTGAAGATAAAATTAAATTAGGAGTTGGGAGCATGAACAGGAATACCAAGATCATATAATGTCGAGGGATGGTCCAATATATCTTATGTTCCTTTGTCACTTCCCAAGTATACTATTTAAAGAAACGATTATATATTTTATATTGATTTGATATAATTTATTTTACTTTGATATTTTAGAGTTCACAAGAATTAATTATAAAAGAACACTTCCATCATACATTGATAAGTCAGCCAAAAATAGAGTTCAAAGAGCAATTAAACCCAATTTTAAGCCAAAACAAACCAAATTTTCAAAAGGATTTTAGTTCAAGCCCAAATAATCAAGAAACATGTGAAGATGATTTTAATTATGCAGAGGTAACAAATGGGCAAAAAGCAATGAAATTTCGAAATGGACATCGTGGAGATGAATTCAAGCAAGACTTTATTGATGATTATTATTTTGATCCCAACATACATTGTGTAGAGCCAATGGATTACAATGTAGGTGATGGGAATACAAGCAACAATGTTGGTGATTCATTGAATTCTTAGTTGGACAATTTTTTATAAGTTTATCAACATTGAAAAGTTTTCTTCAAGATTATGCAATCAAGACAAAGCATGAATACAACCCAATTTATACAAACTCACAAATGATAACGGTGAAGTGTGCTATTGTGGAGTGTCCTCAGTGTTTACATGCCAAAAAAATGCATAATTTGCCAACTTTTAAAGTGACAAGATATAGTAAAGCCCATACATATTTTGTACATATACGCAAAGGTGGTTGTGATCACATCAAGTAACTTCATATTGGATAGCATCTAAAGGGAAAGTTAGAGAAACATGGGGACATTCAGCCAACTGAAATTATCACAGATATAGAAATAATCTTTGGCATTACAATATCATATTCAAAGGTAGTAGTACAGGCTAAAGTGAAGGCATTAGATTTGATAGATGGGACCTTTCAAAACTCATACAAAATTGCCAAGTTTGATGTGGGAGTTTCATCGAAGGGATGAAGGATGTATGACATATTGTACTAAATGATGATTCGGTATTTTCATGTTTCTTTTGGGCATTTAGAGCATGTATTCACATTTTTCACCAAAATTTAGGGCCAATTCTATCAGTTGAT